ACTACTACTACTACTACTACTACTACTACTACTACTACGACTACTACTACTACTACTACTACTACTACTACTACTACTACTACTACTAGCACTGGAGCTCGTCCTTCATGGCCTGCCTCGTGTCGGTTTCGTTCCCGCGCGCCTCGTCCAACAGGAGACCATTTTTAATGTTTCGCGATAGCGCCCGTTACCGGCGGCGCCCCCCCCTTCCCCCCCCAGTAAGGTCACGATTCGCGCCGGTGGCGTCTGGGAATGCCTTGACAAAATGCCATGCTGCTAGCGGAACATACTAATGGGAAAAGCCAATGGTTTACAAATGCTTTGGTATTACTACTACTACTACTACTACTACTACTACTACTACTACTCCTACTACCGCGTCTCCTCCTCCTCATCACCACCACCATCATCACCACCATCATCATCATCATCATCATCAGCATCATCAGCATCAGCAGCACCATCATCATCAGCATCAGCATCAGCATCAACGTCAGCAGCATCGTCATCGTCACCGTCCTCATCATCGCCATCCGCATAATCAGCATCAGCAGCATCATCAGCAGCAGCATCAGCATCGGCATCATCAGCATCATCATCAGCCTCATCATCATCATACTATGCATTCTCCTCATCAACATCATCAGCAGCATCATTAGCATCAGCATCAACATCAGCACCAGCATCAGCATCACCAGCATCAGCATCAGCATCAGCATCACCAGCATCAGCATCAGCATCAGCATCAGGATCAGGATCATCAGCATCACCAGCAGCATCATCATCAGTATCATCACCATCATCATCATCATAACAATCATCAGTATCAGCATCCTCGTTCTCCTCCTCCTCCTTCTTCGCCTCCTCCTCCTCCCTCTCCCCCACCTGCTCTTCTCTCTCCTCCTCCCCCAACTCCTCCTCGTGCTCCTCCTCGTCGTTCTTCTTCTCCTCCTCCTCCTCCTCCTCCTCCTCCTCCTCCTCCTCCTCCTCCTCCTCCTCCTCCTCCTCCTCCCCCTTCTGCACCTGGGAAGACCAGATAACGATGAGGGCATGGGGGGGGGGACGGGCTCGCCGAGTCCCCCCTGGGGTGCGTCCCCGGTGCGCCGCCCCGCCCCTCCTCTGACTGGCTGCCTCGCACGCCTGCGACGGCGGCTCGACCTGGACGTCGGCAGTGGCAGGAGGTGCATCCGCCCCCAGGGAGAACGAAGGAACCCTATATGCGAGGCAGGGGCTTCTCCATCTCCGCCGCCAGGGAACCGACGCCCTGGTGCCCCAGCGGGCGGTGGTCATGGATACATCCCGCGGGCCCGAATATATCCGTGTCCACCGCCTGCCGAGGTCCCCGAACATTGATCCACCAGGCGGTGGTCATGTATAACGTCCAGCCTCGGACTACAGATGCTAGTCACTGGTCTGAAGTGGATACACTGACAGTGCAAACGACCGAGCGGCAACGGACCGCCGACCGTCTCCGCTGACCTGGTCGGCCACCGTGCCTGAAACCTTTGCGGCCCCCTCTGTTCGGCGGCGTTCCAACTCCCACGCCCTCCAACTCCTCCCCCTCTTGTGTTCTGCCTTCGGCTCAAAATCCGACGTCCTATATTCTGAAGGCCAGGAACGTGGACGCTGGCTACCTGCACCGCCGCTCTGTGTGTGGACCTCCCCGAAGCACCTCATGGCTCTCCGAATTCATATGCCTCTTCATCATGTCCACCGCCTTCTCCTCGTCTCTCTTCATCCCCCCCCCGACGGTCTCATCGACTGCTCCGCCACCTCGCGCTGAGCGTAGTTGAGCAACGTGAGCGAGCTGGCAACGGCCACTAAGAGGGCACCGCCTGGCCGTCAGTGCGAGCACCGCGCTGCACTGCAAGGGCAAGCGAGGGGACCTACACGAGTGGAGGGGAGAGGGCATCATGGCAGGGCAGCACGGCATCACGAAGAGCGAACGAGGACGGCAGGGCGCGGAACGGCAAATGGGTGTAGATGGGAGGGCAAGATTGGGGTAGAACGGGGAGGGAAACGAAGGTTGAAACATCACACGCTTTGTTCCCATGGCAACCCGAGGAGAGGAGGGCGGGAAAAGGGAGAGCTGGCGGGTGGGTGGGGTGGGGGCGGGCAAGGCCAGGGGCGGGAGAGGGATGTGGGCGGGGAGGCGGGGAAAGCCATCATGACCTGCCTCCATCTGACGGACCTATGGCGCCTGCTTGAATGGGGATAGATGCGTACGGCACAGAGAGAGAGAGAGAGTGAGAGAGAGAGAAACAACAAAAAAAATAAAAAAAAAAAAAAAAAAAACAAAAAAAAAAAAAAACTAGAGAACATAAGAGAGAAAGAGGGAGAGGCATCAATGCGTTCCCATTTGCACGCGCAGGCTCGCTACTAATGCTGTTGCTGCCCAGTGCCCGTGTTATCGGGAGCCCCTGGGATGTCCAGTCGAGTAAGGCCCTACGAAGACATGAACTGCTATTCCCCGCCCATGGTGCTGTCAACTGTGCAGCTAGTAACACTTCTGCGAGCTCCTGGAAGTCCAGCGAGGTTACGCTTCGTACGTGCGATTAAGGTTTCTTCGGTGTTGCCCCATATCACGATTTTGAAGGTGCGCTGTACATGGTCCCACATGTGGCTTGCAGCAGGAGCAACGTTTTCGTTGAACAGTTCTGTCGTCTTGGGTCATCACATTGGTGATTGCCATTTATGTCGGATAGGTTGTGTACGTCCCGAAGTACATTCCTGACAAATGCAAGACTGGTTTGGGCTCAAGAGCGCGTTTCTTTATGTTTGGCGATGATGGGCGTCATGGGGGGGGGAGGCCGGGGGGGGTATGACGTGACGCCATCCCCCCGCCGTGTGGCTCCGGCACCACAGCCGCGCCCGCGCGCACGACGCGACGAGCGACGACCGACGAGCGACGACGACGACGCGAGCAGCATGTAAGTGCCGATCTGCCCATTGCGCCTGTGTGCGCCACAACGCTCGCGTGCACCACGCCGCGCGTGTGCACCACAACTCTTACGTACACCGCAAAAACCGTGTGTAACGCACCGCCCGCGTATATCACAGTACTTGGGACCACTACAGCGCTGGTGTACATGCACCGCAGCAGCGGTGTGCAACACAACGCCTGTGTACACTACTGTGTTTGCGTGCGCCGCGGCGCTTGTGCACGCCACAGCGCCCGTCTACACCACAGCATCCGCGTGCAACGCAGCGCTTGTGTACACCACAGTGCCTGCGTGCATAAGACAGGTAGGAGGAGCATGTACGTCAGGATCTGCGGCGGACAACTAAACGCCACGCCAGGAAAGTTCTGATAATCGAATGCGACGTTTTTCCCTCCTCCCTCTTCCTCCACCTCCTGTTCCTCCTCGTTTTCCTCCTCCTTTTCCTCCTTCTTACCCCCTGTCGTGCGGCTTGGCGTTACAACGCACGTGCGCATCTCAGCGTGCACCGCAGAATGGTCGATTGAATCCGTCCACTTGGTTCTCGGACGGCCAGTTCGCTGGAACCTCCTGGACGCAACTGGGAGTTAGGGTGATGCGGGCGGACTCACGGGGACTCGTAGATTCCAGCGGCGCTCCTTCGTCCATGAGGATTTGTTTTCCATTGTTTTATCTGGAATCCACACGCGCTCTATTTTGTCACAAGGATTCCTTCTGAAATTCTATACACAATAATGGTGCTGTGTTGCGCACGGCGGATGTGGTGCACACGCGCGCCGTGGCGTACATAGGCACTGCAATGCACGCAGGCATTGTGGTGTACACTGGTGCTGTGTTGCGAACGGCTGATGTGGTGTACGGAGGCGTTGTGGTGTACACAGGAGCTGCTGTGCCCGCAGGCACGGTGGCACAAACTGACGCTGTGTTGCACGCGGCTGCTGTGGTGTTCATCGGCGGTGTGGTGTACACAAGCGCTGTGGTGCACGCGGGCACTGTGATGTACACAGGTGTTATGGTGCATATCGCCACCTACATGTTCGTGCTACCCATTCTCCGTCATTCCTAAGCATTCCCAGACGCCGCCGGCGCGAAACGTGACGTCATCGACCCCCACCCCCCCCAGATGATTGCCGTCATCGGTCTGGACTTCAAAACAGGCTCCAGCCGCGTCCGCGCGCACGACGACGACGAGCGACGAGCGACGAACCACGAGCGACGACGACGGACGACGACGACGACGACGACGCCTGCGGACCAGACACCTATGCGGATTCCTACGCGGACACCTACGCGGATCCCAATGCGCACGGCGGCAGTGCCCGGAGCGCACTGGGGGGGGGGAGCGTTACGTCATAGGGGGAGGGGGGGGAGCGGGAGCCATGACGCCCGTCATGCCCCAAGCAATAAAGAAACGGGTTCCAACTGGCCACGCCAGATTAGCCAACCGTTGCACTTTCGGCGGCCGAGGGCGCAACCTGACGCCACCGATGGCGCAACCAATAGCTGGCCGACACTTTCCGGCTCTGACGGCCCACGGCGCAACCTGCTTCGCACCCTGCTTCGCACCCTGCTGCGCAAGCTCCCACGGCGCAACCTGTCCGGAGAGGGGATGTCCAGCGCGCCGTCGCCCGCCCGTGAGCCAGGGTGAGGGGAGAGAGGACGGAGGGAGCAGAGGGGAGGGAGAGCTGGGAGCGAGGAGGGCGGGCAGAGGCCAGACGAGGGGGACGGGGAGGAGCAGTTGGGGATGCAGGGGGAGACCCCGAACGGAAGGGAGGACAGAGGAGGGGCTAGAATTAGGTCGGGCCTGTCCCCCTACAGGGGGATTGTGGGCGAAAAATCAAAAAGATACTAGACAACATGCTCCCCAAATCCTCAAAATTAACCTCATGCCCGTGAGAATAAACACTAGGGGATAATAAAGTTCGGGGTTCAGGGAGAGATAATAAAAGTAGCCCAGCAGACCTCAGCATAATCTCGAAGTAAGAGATGATCAAGAGGAGACCAAGCCGAGCACGTTTTGAGACATCCTTGGCGTTTAGTTTTCATAGAAATATCCTCAACAATGGCTTATCTCTCATGAAAATTGTTTTTTGTAAGTGCTCGTGTAGGGTAGCTCATGTGCCTCAATTTCCATGGATAATCAACCCCAGAGATAAAAAAGTTCAGGCGAGCGTGGGGACAGAGAGAAATATAAAAGAAGAATAATACAGTAGAAGAATAATAAGAAAGAAGAAGAAGAGGAGAATAAGAAGAGGACGAAGAAAGGAAAAATCCAAAGTTCCAAATCTATCAATTTTAATTTACAAACGCTTTATGAAAATTGATTTGTTTAAGTGCTCGTGTAGGGTAGCTCATGTTCTTCATTTTCCATGGATAATCAACCCCAGGGATAAAAAAAGTTCAGGCGAGCGTGAGGACAGATAGAAATATAAAAGAAGAAGAGGAAAGTATAATAATAATAAGAACATTGCTCGTTTCGTTTGAGTCTGCCTCCCAAAATTATTGGTTTCGCTTGACACATCCTGAAAAAGTGTGATCGCTTCGCTTGATGTTGCTATATCAACATCGCTTGATGTTGCTATCTCAACATAGCGTTTCGAGGTGATAATGAAGTTCGGCCTCAGCGCTCGCCGCCCAATTTGAATTTTGTATAGGGCGACGATAATCAACTCTAAACACTGAGGGGGGGGGGTCCCTTTACTATCATCGGCATGCGGTTAATCAAAACATCCTCTCCAGCCTGGGGGATACAAGCTGGGGGGGGGATACGCACCTGGAAGAGCTGGAGGGCAACGAAGACGACGGCAAGGCCGAAGCCGGCGACGCCCGCGACCGCGATGGTGCCGACGTGCTCTTAACTGCTTTCGGCGGGCCGCCTGGCGGCTTCTGTGGGGCTGCGACCGAGCTATGCTCGCCGTTCGGACTGCGGGGCGGGGCGGTCCAAGCAGCGAGCCGTCGTCTGAATCAACCCAACAGAGAGCGCCGCACAGCGTCTCTCTGCTTCGTTGCCCCTCCTCACTCCCCCTCATCCACTACCGCCTGATCTGATGTCCCAAATGCGCCTCCCCGTCTCCCTCGATATATGTCCGACTCCAGGAACCATAGCCCTGAACACACACACACACACACACACGCGTCCATCTCTTGGGGCTGCATCTTCTGCTTCCGCCGCTTTCCGGCGGGCCTCCGCCGACGGAGGCGGCCCCGCTCTGCTTCCGCCGACCTTCCGCCGCTCTCCGCCGAAAAAGAGTGGACCGTTCTTTCGACCCTCGAATGCAGGGCCCTTTCTGGAATGCATCACGTGGCTCCTTGCTCCGTGTTTCCTGACGGCCGCTCCCTGCATCTCGCCCCTGGGGCTGCTCCGCTGCCGGCCGCCGGGGGCTCGCGCGGCCACCGCCTAGGAGGAACGCTCCCGCGCCCTCCATGTGCGGCTCCCGCACGGCGGGGGGGTGGGGTGGGGGGTGGGGGGGGACAGAGAAGCACGAGGAGGAGAAGGAGGATGGGGAGAAGGAGGAGGAGGAGGAGGAGGAGGAGGCCCCGCGCCCACGCGAGGTCCCCGCGCGCGGGGAGCCCCCCCCCGCGCTGGGCGTCGCAGGGGCGACCGCCGCGACGGAACCTGTGGGAGACGCAACAGCCTCCATCCCCGCGCCTCCTCTCTCTTCTCGCCTTTCTCACCGCTGCTCTTCCCCAGCGCTCACCCAGTCCCAACTCACCCGCACCTGCACATCCTTCTCCTCGGCCTTCCTCTGTACCTGCACGTGCGCCTGCTCCTGCACTCCCAGCCCCACCTCCTCCTCCACCTGCACCTCGCGCAGCTCGGCGCTGACGGCATCTGAACTTCACTGCCGACCCCAAGATGCACAAACTCATCCACCTCCTCCACCTCCGCCTCCTCTCCCTTCCCGCTCCTCCCCCTCATCCCCCTGCCCATCCACCTGCCTGCCCTGAAGGAGAGTGCGCAACGGAAAGGCCGCGGGGTAAGCGGGACTGCGGCGGCGCTGTCGGCTCGGCTGGCGGCTCGGTGGCCTCGACGAGCGCTCGGCGGGAGGGGTCCCTGCTGCAACGGCAAGATGCCGCGTTCCAGGGGAAAGATACGGGGTATAGGGGAAGACACAGAAGATGGGAGGACATGAGGATGACGACGAGGATTACCAACAAACCATTGGCCTTGAAAGGATGCCTGAACTTGCATCCAGAGGCAAGGCGACTACCAGAGAAGTACTGGAGGCAGTGACAGCTTACACACGAGGAGAAGCACTCCACAGCTGACCAACAGTTGACTTTACCCCTGAAGCCAAAGGCACGACCGAAACCTACTTGCCACCCGCTGATGTGGAAGTTGCCCATGGAGGGATCGATTATGAATCGACCTTTTCGTGATATATGCTTGTGGCGGTGGCGGATTCCGTCATAGGGGGGACGTGTACCCAAGCGCCCCGCGATCTGGTTTGGGCAGTGCCTCGAGAAAGACCTGAACCACTCAAATAAACTTTCAAATATGCTGGCGTCGCGAACCGCAGGGCATGTGGCCTACAGTATGGAACACCCCGTCGTCGAGCAGGATGCTCCTTTGGCCAACTCACTGTCGTCAAACCGATGTCGTCGGCACAGCGGACACGGCTCTTGTTGAGAAAGGTACCCCTTGGGCCATGAGGCAACGGGCCATCCCCTTGTGAGACTGCGTGGAAGGAAAATGAACCCGTGCCAACAGAAACACAAAAACATATGGAACAGAACATAAAGAAGTGTAGTTCGAGCGGAACGTTGAGATCAACCGACAATCCACGGCATCAATTAAGTGAGTAAGCGAGACCAAAACAAATAACAACTCCAACGACCAAATCGGCAACCCCGAGGCAAACGGAATGAGAGCCATACCAAAGCGACGGGCAAGAAGACAATTGGAAGGGAACCATGCGGGCCTGTCCGGATCGTTGATACAGTCGGCCCGTATGATAAGGATGCGCGATAAGGATGCAAGATGCAAGGGCCTTGGACGCCCATTACGAAGCTTTTCGAGCGGAGCGCGGCCAACGAAAGTGGCCAATGATGGAGCGAGGAGGCCAGGATGCAAGGGTACACTTGGGAATGTTGCCCATCCTTACTCTGTGGGTTGACTGTACTTGGCCCGGGAATACCGGGCCTCTCACGGCCTCTCCTGCCGTTACTCGTGCTGTGTACCGCCCGCAGCACGAAACACGATGATCTACAATGGAGGCCAGTCCACAAGAAACCTTCCACAAGAGACCCAACCCTGAGACCCCAGGACGTCCATTGATTTCTGGTGTGGGAACGTCACGCTTCCCATAGCAAAACCATCGAAACCCAAGAAACCCAGGAGACCCTGGAGGCAAGCAGGGTGTCTCTAGGCATGGGCCTCCGCTGTATGCGTGCTCTGGAGGCCCCAGGGGCCCAGGGGATGGGCCGCACTCTGGCCTGGAGCAGGATGCGCGATGTGAGCCAGTCTTCGCGCTCCAGTTGGCGACCTCATCTCAGCAGGGCTCCCACCACGGTGCATGACCAACGTGGACTCGTCTGCCAGCATCAACGCTCTACGCCGCCTCGGCGCACCAACAAACCAAAGCACCATCGCACCCAACGCAATTGCCAGCACACCACCGCACCAGAGTACCAGTCGCACTGGCGCACCATCGCAAAAGGAAGGGACAGAGGAGGGAGCATGGCGAGGGGAGGAAACATGGTACGAAGTCTGGGGGGCGGGGGGGGAGGAGGAGAGAATGGGATCGGGTAGTTTGGTGAGGTAGGTGATTGGAGTGGGATGGAACGTTCAGGGTGCCAACTTTGGTGATCAGCGGCGCATAAACCTTCTGAGACCGCTGTTGCCCAATATGTGATGATCTTGAGGGGCTTCGTTGTCTCTCTGCTTCGATCGGTGATGTTGAGAAGCCACAGCCGAAAACCCAGATTGTGCAGCCGTGGAGGCCGAGTGAGTTCGAAAAAGGGCGCGGGGACACGGATGTTGACTTCGGTTGAGATACAGGGGGCATGAAGGGGCAGGGGGGCACTTGTGAACGGCGAGGCCAAAACTATGCGACCGAGAACCATCCACGCACCATTGGGCAAAGGTTCCAGCCCATCAGCGAAACCCAACCCTACCCAGGCTACTGTACGGTAGGACAAACGGGATCGGGTGCAGGAAGGACACAGGGGTTTAACAACCAGGCGAATGAAGACGACATAAAAGGGGGCAGGTCGATTTGGGAACAGCCCGCGAAAAAAGGGGAATACCCTGTATGGCCTACATGTAGAAAAGGGGATGCGGGGCCAGAAAAGGGGAACATGCCAATTGTGTTCAGCTGATGCCTACGCCGTACGCCTTTGGGCCGACATATGGGTCAATGCTGGACTCCGAACCGCTCACAGCCCCTCCAGGGCAACCGCAGCCGAAGAACCCAACCGAACCCAATCGCAAACATTGCAGCAAGTTTGCCCCAGTGAATGGGAGGGTGGCCACTAACTAGCAGAGCGGAAGGCCTGTCTAGACCATCCAAGCAGGTCATTGCGGAATACGATCGCACACGTGGGGCGCGATAGCGAATGTTGAACACCAGGGGAATCCGATCAAGCAACGTACCATACCAGCGACCCGCTGCCTCGAGCAACTCTGGTCCAAGCCTCACGCCTGGCGAACAAAAAAAGTCTGCGAGCTTGGGCCAGCTCAGCAGCCGCAGCGCAACGCTACAACCATTGCAAGGCACTGGACCAATAGCCCTGTGTCCCTGAAAATAATCTCCGTGGGATAATAAAGTTCGGGGGTCTGGCGGGGAGAGTCAACAATTTTCCAGGAGACGCTGACTTTAAGTTATGGGGATGATGACGACGATGACGATGGTGATCCTGGGCGCCCGTGTCGACGGACCCTGTAGATCTTGGCGCGAGACTGACTCGAGAGATCTTGGGGCTTGTGGCTGCAACTTGCCTGCGCAAGAGAGGTCCTTGGCGCTTCTGGCAAAACAAACTCTCTTGCGCACGGCCTCAAAGCAGCGCTTGCCTCCTCGAAGGAGGCGTGCGTCGGCTCGACCGCCGTGGGGTCCGTGAAGGCTTGGACTTTGCCTTGCTCTTGGCTTTGGCCTTGGCCAAGACGTTGTCGTTGGCCTCCTTGAGATTGTTGATCAACTCGTTGCCTCGGGCGCACATTGTGCTGATGTTCGCGGGCGCTTGGCGGCCCTCGCCCCGGATCTCGCGAAGGGCGCGCTCGATCCACCGACTCGTCCACAGGCCGCAGGACCAGGTCTCGGCCTGGAACATCTCGGCCGTGACTTGGGAAGACTGAAATGGTGATAAGCACACAGCCCTGCCACATGCTCGTACTTGCGGAATCTGACATGGTGAGACCACCATGGCCATGCTCAGCGTGTTTGATGTTGTTGCTAGCCAACATAAGATGATCGCAACTTCGATTCGCAACTTCCCCCGCGGATTATCAATTTCGGCCTCCGCGCACGTCTCTACAGTTAAAAGTCCGATTGCCACGGGAAAAATAAAGGGGGTGAGAAGGGGGTCTGTATTATCGGAAGCACGGGTTAGGGAAACAGTTGGACGAAACCCGATGGCATTAAAAAGGCACTACGAACGCACTACATCACAAGCGTATGAATGGTACGCAACCAAAACCGACAACCCGGACGACCTTTCGGTGTCCAGTCGAGCTCGATACCTTTTGTGCGGGATCTGTGGCAGGTGTGCTGGACGGTGGGAGTTGCCGACGCTCTGTCTTCTGCCAGGGGTGATCCGCCATCGTGCCTGGAAGCACGATGGAGTTACCCCCAAGCTCCCATGTGTTCTCTGCACGTAGGACTCAGGACTCTGTATTCAAGACGTCTTAAATTTCCTGGGCGATCCCGCGCGCTTGCAAGAAACACCCAAGAGACCCCGAGGGCCCCCCCGGGAACCCGAAGACATCCCCAGAAAAAAAAGGCCCCCAAAGACTCCCCCAGGAAGCCCCTCAGAGGCCTTTTCGGAAATCCCAAAATTGGCTCCAACACGCCCCCAAGAGCCCTCCCATGAGACCCCATAAGCCATCCGAGTGGCCTCAAACACACAGCCCCGTTTGCGGTCCAGGTACCCGCACAATTCCTCAAAATCCCAGAACCGTGCCATCTGGGGGTGCCGGGATCGCCCCGAAAGGCCTCCTGAAACCGCAAGCCTACACTCACGCCCGAAAGCCAGATCCTCACTTTTCCTCCTCCGCCTGTTCCGTCTCCCCTTCCTCCTCCTCCACCTCCACATGCTCCTGCTCCTGCTCCTGCTCCTGCTCCTCCTCCTCCTCCTCCTCCTCCTCCTCCTCCTCCTCCTGTTCGCCCCTGCGGCCCCGAGCATTCGCGCGCTGTGCAAAGCTTCAGCGGGCCTCACGCGCACGACTTGCACGTCAGGGCGTCCCTCTGGCGCGCGCGTTCGACATGCGGTCGACGAGCTGAGATTTTGGGAGCTTCCTCTTGCAGGTGCCAAAGCCCTCGTACGCTTGCCAACTGCGCGCCGTGAAGCCGAGGTCCGCGCAGTCTGCGCATATAACTTTACTCTTCTTCGTGAAGTGGTCACTCTCCTGTCTGTCGCTTATGCGTTCCTGCCGCGGAAACTTCTTCTCGCGCGCCGCGGCGCGCCCATTCTCGCGCAAGCCGTCTCGCCGCATCGGCCACCCCCTTCGCGGTGCGGCCACGCTTGCTACAGCCCTCACACACACACACACCACGCGCGCCTGCTTCGTTTTTCGATGATCCTCACTGTGCCCCTTATCTTATGTTGTCCCCATCGTACTTAAGGAGGACATCCCAGGAATAATTTCGAGCACCCGAAAGAGTGTCGAAAGAGTGTCGAAACAGTGTCGGACGAGTGTCTCCCAGGGCCCGACACGTGAACACCCTCGAGTTGTTGGGTACTTTTCTGGCGCTCGAAACTCTTTCTGGTGATCAAGGCTAAAGTAAGCTGGAACATCATGACCCTCATCCAGACGTCTCGTGCCCACGCACTCTCCCCCGCACGCCGCGCACGTCGGCGCCTCCGCTTCCGCCTCCGCTTCCGCCTCAGGGCGCCGCGCGGCTCCCAGCTCGTGGGAAATCCCTCGGCACCGTCGGAGGCCCCGCGCCCCCTGGAACCCCCGGAGCAGGCTCGAAAGCAGGGAGCAGGAGAAAGAGGAAGGCACGGGACAAGATAATGAGAAGGAATAACATATGATGATGATGATGATGATGATGATGATGATGATGATGATGATGATGCTGATGATGATGATGATGATGATGATGGTGGTGGTGGTGGTGATGATGATGGTGGTAGTGATTACGATGGTGATGATGCTGATAATGATGATGATGATGGTAATGATTACGATGGTGATGCTGCTGATGATGATGATGATGATGATGGTGATGGTGATGGTGATGGTGATGATGATGATGATGATGATGATGATGATGATGATGATGATGATGGTGAGGGTGCTGACGATGCAACGCCCACTGAAGTCGAAAGGAAGGAACGACCGACCACCGGTGCGGACCAGCGTGAGGGCCTGGCTCAGACCAGGTGGGTGACGCCGTGGCCTCTGCCCTGTCGCGTGTCTGGGCGCATGCAGTGCGACACGAATCCGCCGACCCCTTTGGGTCTCCAGCAGGGCTGAACCTAAACGGTGTTTTTCGTTTTTTCGTTTTGTTTCGTTTTCCCTCGTTTTGTCTTCAATCCGCCTTTACCGCAAAACGAAGTCGACACGAAAACGGCACACGACATCGTCAAAACACCGTTTAGGTCCAGCCCTGGTCCCCAGACGTGTGAGATTCGTCCCCTGAACAGCCCCAAGGGCCCCCAGAAAAGCTCAGGCCCGCCCACAAAAAACCCAAGACGACACAAGAAGGCCCCAGGACAGCAATAGAACGTATCCGACTACATCAAGGGGTCGGCGGATGTGGCGTAAGCCTATAGCTTCTCAGATCTCCTGGGCGATCCGGCGCGCTCCTGGGCTGCCTCGCGTCCTTTCCAGAGGCCAGAGGGTCCCAAGACGGGCCAGGAGGGCCCCAGAAAGCACCCGAGACGGTCCAAGAAAGAGGCCTCCAAGACAGCCCACGAGCGCTCGAAAATGGCCCCAAGACGGCCCAAGAGGCCCCAAAGAAGCCGCAAGAGCGCTGCAAGAGAACCCCCACGGGAACCCCCAAGAGGGCCCAAAGAGGCAAACCTCATTGATTTTCCTTGTGTTGTTTGATGTTTTTCGCGTTCTCGCGTTTTCGGGCTTCCGACGCTCCAAGATGGCCCCCGAGGCCCCCAAGGCTGCCACAAGAGGCCCCCAAGAGGGCCCCAAGACGGACCAAGAGGGCCCCACAACGGTCCCCAGGCTTCTAGTTTGGCGCGCAAGCGCGCCCAGATTACCAGACGGCCAGACCAGGCACCTGCAAAACAACAGGGCTCGAACAATGAGCTGGAGCACCACCAGGGGCCGGACAGACAGCTGGAGGAGGCCAAAGATGACGACAAGGGGGGATGAGATGTGAGGAGGGGGCGCCCTGACCCAGTGTCAGAGGGGGGGAGGGGCGAGGTGGCAACGAAAGGGGGTGAGGAGGGGGGAAGAGAGAGAGGGAGAGAGAGATGGAGACAGAGGGGGGAAGAGAGAGAATAGAGAGAGGGAGAAAGAGAGAGAGAGAGGGAGAGAGAGAGGGAGAGAGAGAGGAGGAAGAAAGAGAGGGAGAGAGAGAGAGGGATAAGAAAGGAGAGAGCCAGTGGGAGGAAAAGGAAGCAAGGAGAATGCGAGGGGAGAAGGCGAAAGAGGAGGGGAGGGGGTCGGCCGCCGCCGCCGGGGCCAGCTCACGCCGCCTTCCCCTTCGAGACCTTCTCTGCGATCTTCTTCCTCTTGGCCTCCTCCTGGACCTGGCGGCCGCTCGGGCACGCGAATCGGTGTTCGGATCTGCGCACTCTCTGGGCAACACCCACGAGTTTTTTGCTGTCACCAGCATCTTCCCACTCCTCCGCCTTCTTTTCGCTATTATTACACCTCTCGCCTCGTCCTCTTCACCGTCTTTCTGATCCTCGCTTCATCCATTTTCTCCAAGTGATTACGCATCCGCCTCGGTATCATTTATATTTCCCCTGGCCTCCCCTTCTCCTGCAAACTATTCTGCGCGAGACTCGGCACCCGTGAAAGCCATATGTGAGCCCCCTCCTTGCACTCTACCTGCTTCGCCTGCTCCTCGGCCTCCCGTTGCCGTTCCTCCTCCTCCTCCTCCTGCTCCTCCTCCTCCTCCTCCTCCCTCCTCCTCCTCCTCCTCCTTCTCTTCCTCCTCCTCCTCCTCCTCCTTTTCCTCCCTTCGCCTCCCCCACGTCGAACTGCTCTTCCACCTACTCCAATCGCTCCTCGAACTCCCTTTCCTCCTCAACTACCTCCTACGCGCCCGATCCCAACTCTCGCTTCGGGGCTCGCTCCTGATCCTGCCACCGGTCCACTCATCTGTACTCCTCCTCCTCCTCGCTGTTCCCTCCTCTTTGCTTGCCCTGGACCTCTGTCCTCCCTGATCTGGTGACGTGATGTTCGATTATATGTCATAAGCTTCCTGGAAAACAAGCTGGCAAAACCACTGACGACGAAATCGGGGCTACGCTCGAACGGATCGACGAGACGGAATACTGCGACGCACTCACCGTCTGCAGTCTCCACCAGAGCTGCGACCAGAGGAAGCGGCGCCCCACTCTGCGCTTCAAAGGGTTGGCGAGAGTGTATGGCCAAGACGTCCTAAAGTTTGGCGGCAAGAGCAAATTCGGCCGCGCCCCGCGGAGCCAGATGGAGCGCTGGCTGCAATCTTGACCCGAAACCTTCGTGGACGCGGCCTGAATCCTGACGGACACGGGCGCGTGGCTGCTCCGACCGGGGGGAAACCATGCAGTCGGGGCGTTGACCTAAGGAACCCTGAATAAGGAACGGGGCCCCTTTTTCCCATAAGTTAAACTTCGATTTCCCATCGACACCCTGTGGCAGCAGCAGGATGAACAGATGTGATTTTGGCCTTGAGCCAGTACGACGAAGTACAGTACAACCTTCCCTGAACAACATAGCGGACAATCCTGGCTGCCCCGTGAGCTGGAATGCTGGGCTACACAAGAAAGGTCAACATGCTAAACCTATCAAAGGACACCTATCACATGGGTGAGACTTTCTCCTAGGTTTAGCACCCTCTATAGACAGGACAGTGACTATACAAACAAGTCAGTGCTCAGGGAGAAGGAGAGAGAGAGAGAGGAGAGGAGGATCCCGGATCCCCGGACTCCGACACCGCGTAGCTCGACTGGAAGTCCTCCCACGAGATGAGTCGAGAATCTTGGGTCAGCGTCCTCTTGGATGCTGCATGGGACCGATCCTTGCTGCCGGGGTCGTGCTTGCGACGAGACATCACCCCGTCCTCGTCCACCAGGACCAAGCGGCCGGTGGCGAGCAGGCTGCCTAGTGCGGCATTCCCTTTGCTGATGTCATCTTTAGTGAGGCTATCTACTGGCATGCGAGCGTGAGGGGCCCATCTGATGTGACCCCTTGCCCCTTCCAGAGCTTGACGCACGGCTGCCAAATCCAATGCAGTCCTCCGGTCGCGCGCACGGGCGTTCCCCTCCTTTAGCATCGTGTCGTATATGCTTTTCGCGTCCACCACGTGGACCTGGTCCTCCCTTCCCCCAAGGCGGCAGCCCCGACGCAGGACCGTGGTGAACGGCCCAGAGCACCGAGGCATATCCGAGACACCGACGTCCCCGAAAACCACGTCACGATAAAGCACCTGAAGGAATTCGACCTCGGACACGGCCGCAGCAAGTGCCTGTGTCTCGCCTGCGAGGGTGGACGTAACCTTACGGCGGAGCTTAGAGCTCCTCCAGCCTAGGGTGGACGCCCTCACAGCGCAGTTATCGATCACGCTCCTGTCCGTCGCCAGGACCACCCAGGCCCCTTGCGTAGGGTCGGCGGGCAGACCTTGGTCGTCCAGGAGGCCCTCATGGGCCCCGACCCCCCCCGCATCAGAGAAGGACACGAAAGCCATTTTCTCGGGATCGAGACGCCAGATCGTCAGGCCTCTTGAGGCCGTGGACCGAAGGTACCTCACCATTTCGTTGGCGACAGCCACGTCCCGGGTGGTGGCCGCCTTCAAGCGACTCGCTAAAATGCTGGCCGTTCCTGCGGCCTCCGGTCTGGATTCCCGCCCGACCCAGTTCAGTTTGTAAATCAGGGACCGAAGGGCTTTGAACTCGGACTGGGTGAGGGGGGAGTCCTTCTGCCCAAGCCGTCCACGCTCGAGGCTGATCGCTCGCACTTCTTCCAGGATGTACTTTTCCTGGTCCACCGTCGTCTTCTGAGGCCCGATGGTGACACTCCTACCGGCATACTCGACGGCCCCGGCGCGGCAGTCCCGATACTTGCCAAAGCGAAACCGGGAGGTGAGCGAGTCCCTGATCCAGGCCCGGGACTCCTGGGGGTTGCTGGAGACGAAGAAATCGCCCACCTCTAGCAGCACCACATTGAGAAGGGCGCCGTCTGAGGCGTACCTCATCCACCAACACGGGTCCAAGAGGCTGCGAGTGAAACCTTTTGACCTAAGATACCCGACGATCGTCTTGCGCCACGCAAGTGGGGCATCGTCGAGTCCGTAGACGTTCACCAGAAGTCGAATCAAGGACCCCGGTTCAACCTTGATGCCCTCGCATGGATCCACGTCTATTTCTCCCTGAGCACGGCTCATGGGATCCGATTGGAAAAAGGCATTCTTCACGTCGGCGATATCGCCGAAGCGCCCGAGATTCATCATCACTTGGATGAACATGAGGATGGGCGAGGTCTGGGGAGTGGGAGAGTAGACGAACAGCGACCCGGTGTCTGGGTCCTTGTGCCCGTGCACACACCACCGGGACTTGGCGGTTGGTTCAGAAAACGTGCCCTCCACAGGTTTCCACCGCCGTACCATCCGACTCGCGATGATGCGGTCGGGGCACTGCTCTCTGATCACTCTCGCCTCTCGGGGCGGAATGACCTCGACCGCACCGGAGCCGGCCATGCTCTGCCACTCGTTGTCGTCCGAAATTTCAAACTTCGCCCGCTCAGCGGGAGTGAGCCTGCTCAAGGTGACCTCTCCCCCTCGGCTGGCCGCCAGGACCTCTCTGCGATCCTGAGGAGGCTCCTCAACCAAGAGCGCCCGCGCACTCTCGGCTCCCACCAGAAAAGAGCACATCCCGTCCCCCCTGAGTCGCGACTCGATCTCCTGCACCCTCCGACCGACCTGGCCCGGTCCCCCTTCGGAGGGGCTAGCGTCTGAATTGGTCGCAAGGACCGACTCTAGCGGTGGCACCGCCTCGGTCGGCTCGAGACCCGGAGGGGGATCGATTCTGGCTCGCTTCGCGTCGCTAACCCCCGGGGGACAGCTGGCGGCCCGCGTCTCCGCTTGCCTCTGCCGGATGCAGGCGGGAACATCGCTCGGCTGTTGCAGCCGACCTCGGGACGCTCTCCTTCCTCCTCCCACAGCGGCGTCAGCGGCGGCGGCAGAGGGAGAGGCAGGAGAGAAAGAGGAGGGGACCGGAAACGGGACAGGAGGAGGAGAGGAAAGAGGAGGGGCCGACGGAGGAGCGGAAGGAGAGGCGGCGGCCGAGGCTGACTCGGGAGACTTCTCCACCTCGGGCGTGTCCTGGCGAGTGGGAGGTATCCCGTCGCCGTCGTGACTCTCCTCGATGACGGACGGGAGTCGAGTGACCTCAGACCCGGCCCTCGCCACAGCGGACCCTCCCGCTGACGAAGGTCTCGACGTGGGGCTCCTCGGAGGCCCGGGTCCGATGGGGTCGAAACCTCGGCGGACCATCGGAGGTCCGGGAGGGCCCAGGGGTCGCCCGTCAGGAATCTCGACGGACGGATCCGGCCGTGGCGGAGGCTCGGGACCAGTCGGCACGCTGGGTGCTGAGTCCGTCCCGGGATTCAGACACTCGTCCCAGGCGTCGTCGGGAGGTGGGCCCTCTCTCTGCACGTCAACGGCCGTGGCACGCCTGGCCCTGGCCTGGGTCAGGAGCTCCTCCCAACGCGGGTCCTGGGCAACCTGGAGACCGCGCTCTTCCTCCGCGCTAGCGAGCCTGACCTGTTCCGGCGAGCACTTCCAGAGGCCCCAGATCATTGATTACCGGATTTTTCCGGTAACGACCGACGTTACCGGTCGCGACCGAATTTGCCCGAAATTCCAGGAACGGAGCGGTCGCGGAGCATCGGTCGCCGATCGGTCGCGCATCGGTCGCGCATCGGTCGCGGATCGGTCGCGAACGGTCCCCGAGCGCCAATCGTCACACCCGAGCGCCAATCGTCAGATCCGATCGGTCGCGACGAATAGTGTAACGACCACAGTGACGAGCGCGAGGACGACAGCGACGGCGATGACAAACACGACGACGAGTACTATAATGACGTCGGTGATGGTGTAGTTGATGATGCATGTCATGAGCAGCGCGACGATGATGATGAGGCTCATGAGGCTGGCGACGATGAAACTGATGACGTTGATGACAACGGTGGTGAAGCCAACGGCGACCAACATGATGACCATGATGACGATGCTGATGATGATGCGGATGATGATGATGATTATGAGTATGGTGATGGTGGTGGTGATGATGATTGTGATGATGATGATGATGCTGATGATGCTGACGATGATGGTGATGATGATGATGATGACGCTGATGATGGTGATGACGATAATGATGATGATGATGATGATGATGATGATGATGATGATGATGATGATGACGCTGATGATGGTGATGATGATGATGATGAAGCTGCGTCGGCTCAAGTGCCGCGGGGCGATGGTGAACGCCCTCACCCAGGGCCGAGGCCCCTCTCGTGGCGCGCTCCCTTGGACCAG